CTTCTACATAATTAATTTTCATTTTTAAGGCATCACTAGAAAGTTCATAAAGGATTCTTTTACTTGAGTCTAAAATTATCAACGCCGCCTTTCCTTGATGATCTTGTTTATTATCAAAATTGACCAAGAAATAAAAAAAGTAAGTAGGGGGCGCCAATGTTTTTTCTTACTGAATTTCAGAGTGTGTTTTTTTTACTTGGGGATCATATGCCGTTTTTTTCATGGGTATGGCACTTACGTTTCGAATTGAAGGTTCCATGATAATCGCCATATTAACACATCTGCGGATTTTTCTAAATTGTACCAGTTCATGTTGAATTTTGCTTAAGCCGTGCTTGGGGCGTGGACGATAACTTGCTCTTTCCATTACCGTCCATGAGCAGGCTCAATAAAACCGGGCCTGCAACATTCTCAATTTTGTCGTTTTGAGCGTTCTTTATGGATTCTTATTTTCTCTATTTTACAGAAAGTAACATGATAAACTTTTTAACGAAAAGTTAATTCAGTTTGATTTAATTCATTTTTATTATTAGGCATTATATAATTATGTATCATAAATCGTATGAAGCACACTTTTATTAATCCAAAATTATCAAAATATATTACGAACTTAAAAAAAGTTTGGAGGGAACGCCGTGTTTTTCTTATCAATTCGAGAGTGTTATTTTCAGAGTAAAAAAAACTAAAAATTCAATACATCTATTTAATTCATTTCTATTTCCGAGGCACTCATAGAAAGCTTATGGAGTAATCTTTCATTTGATACCAATAATATTGGACTTTTTATAGAAATAAAAAAAAGTTAGAATGGACGCCGTGTTTTCCTTCACTTTATTGAGAAATAGGAGAGAGGCGACGGGTATTATACTTGTCCGTACATTTCCGTGATAGAAGATCGTAAATACTCAGAGAGAGGCGGGGCGTCATGCATGACTTAGAATCGTTTAACTTTGTGAATCTACTTTTGTCATTTTAAACATGTAACTGTGTAAACGTACTGTTGTAGTTCTACGACTGGAACACGTTTTATTAAATTATATTTTCTGCATTCGAGTTTTACATTTCATTTGTGTTTTTCAGGTACAGATATATATCTACAATTGTGTAAACTTGCTTATGTATTATATGCAATGGTAGATACGAACTTGTAAATGTGTCGTTGCTCTCCATGTTAGGTCAGTTGTTAAGATTTACATGTAAACTTGTTATTTAAAAGCGGGTGCCTTCAATTAAAAGATTGGATTAAGAGGCATATCATTTGCTGTGCACGAATGCAATAAAAAATGCTAGACATACATGTTCGCATTTTCAAAAGTAGTTTTCAAAAGGAACACATTAAATGTCTGGAATTTTGGCAACGATCGCCCTCCATATGCATACAACCAATCCTTTCCATTTGTTCTAACATATTTGTTTGGTTTTTAATGCATTAGGGAATAAAAATCAATTTGATAACAAATTGTGATTTATCATGCTCGCTTTGCCAATACTTTGCCAATTATTTTATCTTTAGTTTTCAACGAGTTTTATAAATATGTATGGAAAGACACGACTGAAAATTCTTTTTATCACAAAATTATGTGAAAAATGTGATAAAAAGCGTTTTACAATCGTGTCGTTCCATGTTGAATAAACCAAATTAACCTATATAATGCCAACGTTATCGAGTAGTCATAATTGACCCCTTTAATGATGATTATATAAATGTCAGTTGAAATAAAGAGAATATTCAGGTTTTCTTCTATAGATACATGATTTATTTTCATCTATTGGTATGAAAATAAATAATTCACGAGTGGCAATAGCCACGAGTGAAATATAATAATGTTCATGTCACAAGATGAAAATAAATCATGTATTTTATAAAAAAAAAAATTGAATTTTCTGTTTATTATATACATTGTTCTCTTTTATGACATTGCAATTTGAAAGACTTTCCTTTAAATCTTGTGTACTGGCAGAATTTAAAAGAAAGTAGCCTGGCAAGGCACCAGTGAAAATACGGAAAATATGTTTCACTGCATTAAAATAATTTTTTGCAGTGAAAATACGGAAAACAAAAATGCGCACTTTATTTCATCAATATTTCTCAATATTTATTTAAATTGTTTAATTACTTTATTGATTTATTCGAAAAAGTATTATTTTAAATATATCTATCGTTTTGTTTTTCAAAATCATCAATGACATAAATATGCTTGCAGATGTAAGGTAAATACATAAACTTGTAATGTCATACTTTGTGTCGTCACAACATTTAAAATGTACATGTATGACAGCCTACTGTGAATAGCTGTTGCTGGCAATGAATGTTATACACTTTCTTGATGATGATTTGTGCTTATATCACAACAACCACAGTAGATTATATTGTTGTTATATAATAGATCCTTTTGTATTTAGGGGTTGATTATCAAAGAGCATTGTTCATTTGTTAGCACAATCGCCGAAGGCCACCATGTTTGTTAATTCTTTTTATTGTATGTATGAATGCGTTAATAAAGTTATCAATATCCTCATTTACATAGTTATAACACAAGAGTAATATGGTTTTATTTAACTCCAGCACCTTGGTATATGTGATCAACTGTATTTAACAAAAGTAATTTTTCTGACATCGGACATGACATGACGTGTGAACGTTCTATTTGGATTTGTGTCGTGCATAAATCGCACACTGTTTTTATTGCAGCGCGATAAACTAACGCACATAAAACGTTAATCAGGGAATTCCCCAGGATTTTTTTAAGCGCTACATTTTTTTAATTAGACGGGGGTGGGTGCGGGAGGGGGTCTTGACCCCATACCGCGTGTCGAAATTTTTTGCCATTTTAGGTGTCAAGATACTGCTGTGGGCTGTTTTAAAACAAATAATGAAAGCTTTTCACTTGGTAAACATTTTCTTAATTTTTATTATTTATTTTTCCATATCCAACAATTCAAATAAATAAACAATTATACATGTATATAAACACAAGTTCACAACATGTGATCAACATTTATGTATGTGTGTGTCCCATTTAAATGAGTATATTTCAGTTGTTTTTTCTTCATTAACATCATTAAAAGTGGACCTGTCTTCTAGGTTTGTTGTCCTTCCATGCCTTGACTGCCTTCTCAAAGTTGAAAGATTCTAATGGGGGTCCTTGAAGGGAGACGGCAAGAAGATAGTTTAGAACTTTAAAACAGAGAAACAATTCCTGTTTTCAGTCTTAACTCTCTTCAGGCAGCTGAATCCTCGCTCACAATCTGAAATTAATAATCATTTATGTTAACCTCATGTCTTTTATTTATTTTGTTTGTTTGCTATGAAATTTTGAAATTTAAAACTTCTAGCCTGTTTAAACTTAACGAAGTCAAAAAATTTATATTTGAAATGTTGAAAAACTTCTAGCAAAGTGTCACACATCTGCAACTGTCATTGGAATTTCATTAATGTTCAAGAATGAATCAATTTAATAATAATTACCTGCAGTAGAGGTTGGGAGGAGGAGACCTACAGCAGCAATTCTTTAAATAGCTGGATGACTGGTAGAAAGGTTGCCAGTAATCCAGATCATGGTCTGGTCGGCAGACTGATCAATCCCCTCTAGACTGGCACGTACCTGGCGCCAGTGGCTGCGGCACTGCTCCATATCTAAACCAAAGTGCCTGGCCAGCTCCTGTATGTCCTGACAAACCAATGCTAAGGGGCATGGACAGTAGATTGCACTTCACAAAGCTGTCCATGAATAGGCTCGCTTAAAGAGGGCCTGCAAATTTTTTTTTTTTCATTTTGGGGATTCAGTTAACAGAAACAGTTTACAAGATATTTTTACTCTTTTTTTCAATTAAAAAAGAAAATGACCAATGGGCTGTCACTAAGTGGGATTGTTGATGTAAAGTTTTTGTTGTTGTTTTCACTCAGTTGCAAGTTGATAATGAACAGTCGTAAATGTTTTCAATGTTAAAGTAGCCATCAACCAAATTTATTCTGAATATCTATGCAGTTTAATCCAAATAAAATACGACAATCATGTATATATTAAAAAGCAAAATGATCCTGAGACAGTTTCAACGACATTGCTCACAAAAAAAACACTCTTAATTGATAGTGAACTAGGCGCTGGCCTCTTTCTTCCCTTATTCATGTTAGACATATTATTTTTTGAAATCTTAATACTACAGTACTGCTTAGACGTTACGATTGTAAGAAAGTGAAAGATGACATTGAACATTACACTTATATCAAGACAATTAACCCATTCATCCCTAAATATCAAACTGTTATAATATCGCATGTCAATTAATGCCAATTATATTATCAAAACAATAAAATGTATTACACCTACCTGAAACATGTAAATATCACACATGCCGCGGTTAAATTGCATCCATCTCAATACACGGTAATTGACAACACCTGAAAGTGCACCAACAGTCGTCTACAGACATCGATGACAGGTGTCTGTGACGTCACACATTCTCAAGGCAATCAGTGTATCGGGTTGTGTATACGCCTCGGGTAATTATCTACACAGGACATGTATATTGACTTGTTTATTTGGCTAACTTAACTTAACACAGATATCAAAGGTTACAAGACCACCTTTCATTGATAAGCTAATGATAAAGAATAAATAGGTAGTTCCAGGAGCTCTAACAAGGTAGTGAGTACGCCGTTTTCAACTATGCCTATTTGTATTTTGTTTTCATTGCTCGTGAATAAAATTTTCAGTATTTTGATATTCAATTTAATATTACTCCATATCGTTTTGCTGCCATATTTATTAGAATCGAAACGAATATACATAATTTAAAAGCATGGCAATCCACATGTAATTTATCCTCACAGTGAATTTTGAATTCTACAAAAAAAAGTTTGAAATAAAAGCGTGACAGCATCAATTTAGTTATACATAATTTATTCTGAAAATAAATAATGGTTTTCCGATCCATACTGCTATATCGAAATTTTGAATTTTCATTTTATTATTAGATTTACTGCTATTAATGTGCATTATAAACTTTTCTCATTTTAATGATTTTAGATAACTGTTGTTTAAATACTAATGATCACATCATTATGTAATAATGTTTTAAATGATAAGTAAACATGCACATTTAGAATACAATATTTGAATGGACATGAAATGCTCTGTTTTCAACAACAACAATCAGGAATAATGATTTCTTTGCATAAATTCTCGCTTCTTGTATTAATAAACGCTTTTCTCTTTGTATCTTTAACCATATCTGTACAAGGACTAGAGTTTAAGTTTGCCCGTCGGTTGAATGTAGACAATGTTAATCTTTACATTGCTGACAGTCACCTTTCAATGTATGGAATAAATGACTGTATAGACGCATGCAAGAGGAGGAAAAATTGTAGATTTATAAATTATGAACCATTAAAAAAATTGTGTCAAATGATCAACACGATAAAGGAAGAGACTTTCACGACAGCTGACCATTTGGAAACAGTACCTGGCTTCTATTTCGGGGACAAAACTTGGTGGAATATGGTAAATATGATTCCAATCAAACCGATTTCTTTGTCGTGTATACAAAAATATCCCTGATTTTACTTCAAGTAGTTTACGTTATAATGAAATGATGAGAGGATAAAGTAACTTTTTTACAGTTGATTCAAAATTTCAAGCAGCTCGTCTCCAAATTTATGATAGTAATCTGGCCATTTTTGTAATTATAAATGAAACACGTTGTCAACTATACATTTTTTATTTTATTTATTATTTAATTCATTATTTGCCAAAATATGTTGCTATATGTCATATACTGGTAGTACTTTATTTGCCAAAATATGCAACTGTAGAACTTATACCGGTAGAAATAAACTAAACTAATGGTGATAGGGATAATGAATCCTATCATATTTCTTATTTAAAGGGTCAAGTGAACATTTAAGCATTTCTTTAAAATTCTTTAAATGTGTTTAGGTTTGGTTAATTAGATAGTTATAAGTTTACTCTTACGAAAGCCGGGGATATCTCTAACGTATGTTACACATTGTATTGCAAATGCTCATATATGCAAATATATGCAAATGCAAAAATATATTGTATTATATATTCTATTGTTTCTAAGGTAATATGATATAACTGTATGAATAAATAACATATTATAACATCACCTTTTTACTTGTGAATTCAGATTATATATTTATTGCCAATATATGCATTGCAATTGTTTTTTACAAGCATTTGCTACTTTCGACCACTATCGTAACGTCTCTTTTGGTGCCTATAAAATCATTTTAACTCGAGCATTTGTTGCAAAAACAGGAAGTATGGTCATGTAAACACTGTGATATGTAATTATACTTCTAGGATTATTAAACATGCCGTATATAAATTAGCCGTTTGTTGACATGTTATAAATCTTCGAGTACAAGTATGTATATATGTGCCTCATATGTTCTGACTAATTTCAAATAACGAGGTACCATAAAAGAATACAGCTATTTTATTATTCTTATCTTCAAAGGATGATCAATATGAGTATGTAGATAATGAAGACAATGAAGACTTTGGATCAAATGTCGGAGGTAATTATACAGCGAGTCTGAAAACTGGTAAGATGCTTCAGTTGAGAGAAATTACTTAACTGATTCAAACAAACAATGTCTCATAAAAGTGAAAGAAAATGTACCACGTTTGTTGCGACAACAACATCAGCTTCCAGTAGCGGTCAATAACATGTAGATAGGGGACAATTCTTTTACATGTTTCAGGTCATTTTTCTTTTAAGGGAATCAGTATTTGATAGAGAAATGGTCTCTTTTCACTATAGAACATGGACCGGTGGATCTATGGGGATCGCTTTACTTCCTTAGACTTGTCATAACCACTTTCAAATGGGCTTATACAACTTTCATTACAAATTTGGAAAATTGGACAGATTTAAAATAGTATTTGGCTTATTACCACCGCTATTTTCTGCACTGTCGCAAGAGATTAATTTCTTATTTCCTTCTTTTGCAAAATTACCATTTATGATAACCTTCACAAAATTGTAGTATCTAGAGGTACAGGGCTACGTCTACACTCGCTAAGAAATACATTTGAAAACTAAAGAGGACTTATGCATGCCAACTTCCTAGTAGTAACTTGACTTTAAACAACTTTATATGTAAAGAAGTACGTAAGAGATATGAACAGTAATTTTAACAACATTTGAATATTTTCCAGGATGTAGATTACCTGAAGAAAAGGAAAACGCAACAGTACTAGGGAATATGTTCTCATACGGTGATAAAGTCCAATACAAATGTATGGATGGCTTCGTATCAAACAAAAATGTTCCATTAATTTCAGAATGCCTTGACGATGGTACTTGGAGTAGACAAGACTTCACCTGTGTTCCTGGTATATGTATCTGAAAATATTTTTTTTAAATTAATGGTCATTTTTATAGTTTCTGAATTTTGAATTTCCATTGACTGTAATTCTTTTATGACATTCACCAATGGGCTCATTCAATTAAAAGCATCCTGCAATTATTTCTTTGAATTAAATGTTCTTGTCCAGTATTTGTTTTGACAAAATATCTTTTCAGGCGTAGTTCACAATGTTGACAAAACGTTCTACATGCTGATTAGGGAAAAGAAGACGTGGTCAGAAGCAAATGTATGTTAACTTGTACTTAAAGCTAAATCATTAAATTATTTCTCCCTTAATACCATCAGATTGGTTATTTCTCCACTCTGATTTTTTTCAACTTATACTGTACTTCCAGTTTTTTAGAATTGGTCAAAAGTATGTCAAAGAATGCTAGAACTTTTTTGAATTTGAAAACAATTAATTTATAGATTCAATTAAACAGGTACATAAACTTGATTTTTTAAAAATCACTGATAAAACAACTGAAGATCAGACACATAAATATCAAATAAGAAAGATAATAAATCTATTTGTTAATTTATATACATGACTTTCTATTAATTTGTTTCACATTCTGTAAGGACTCGGGTGAATAAACCACACCATTATAATCATATACTTCAATAAACCACACCATTATAATCATATTTTCTTGTATATGTAATTGGATGATAACTTTTCGGTAATAAATTTCTTAAATTGAATAAAGAAAATTAAAAAAAATGTATATGTTATTTTGCGAATACTTTCGGTAATGTACGTAGCAACTGTTATTTTACGTAAAGTGAAAAGAAGATATCGTATTGTATATATATAATCAAAGCTTTTGTCTGAAATTTTATTCCGATTATGCGATTATGGCTAAGTTTGGTTTTGGTTTTACTCACTTTCTTTCCAAAAAAGAAGAAATAATGTTGTTATTTTTTTGTCACAAAAAGGCATTTTTCAACTAAAACAGTTTTCTTTTGCGTAGTTATAATAGCTGCCATCTTGCAGTCACGTGCCGTTAAGGCAGTGATTTGAAAGTAGCCAATCATGTCCCTGTAGCTATAGGGCATCGACTGTTTGATCTTTTTGTGATTCATTTTTCGTGCCATGTTAAAGGTTGTTTGTTATGTGTCTGTATTTTAATCACCATGGCATATTTCAGGAGACGTGTAATAATATTGGATGGCTGCTGGTGTACATACAAACGTTGCAAGAACATGACAAAATTGTCGAACTGATAAAGGCAACTGACAGTAGGTTTCCTCCTTTATTTCTATAGTTTTATATTTTCTTTATTAAATTCAAAATGCAAAACATTTATTTTCGATTATTGTCAATTTCAATGTTTTACTAAATACTATGCACGAAATAACAGGTTTGCACCTTTTAATTTACAGACTCTGACGCTTATTGGACCGGAGGTAGGCGCATCGACAACGAAGACAAGTTTGAATGGAATGATGGTTCAGCTGTCTCCCTCTCCAACCCATATTGGCAGTCTGGTCAGCCAAACGATCGTAATGGCCTTCAAAATTGTATTATGCTAAACAAAAGAGCCAGCTTCAAATTCAATGACCGTTCGTGTTCAAGGGAATACTATTCGATTTGCAAAAAGACATTTTAAAATTAAAAAATGCCCTTTTATATCTTCAGTATTAATTGTTTTGTATTATAACTATTAAGTGTTTAGCTTTGCCTGTTTATTGTATTTCAGTTTAGATCACTTTATTCATATTTAAGTTAACAACATTTTGAAGGAATGTTAAACAACTTTTATTAATCAGCTCCCAGGATATAACAGTTCTATTGTCATATGAAGAAACTTTGTGGTGATTATATTGATGATCTAAATCTCGATAAACCTTGGCTCTTATTCAATATCAGTGTTAATTCTTGACCAGCTCAATTGGTGAATTTGTTCTGTTTTGAAAATAATGTTAATTTTCAAATACAAAAATTGACATACTTCCAGGTCAGGTTACACGGATGACTTAAAGGCTAATCAAAGTCGATTTCAAATCTATTCAGCGTTTGTTTGAAAGGTCGGTGGTAATACTAATAAAAACTCCCTTAACTTAATGATACACTCGAAACGTCAAATATATTTATTTAATCACAAATACAAGGGACTTAATTTAAAAATGTCAAATATCTCTTAAAGTGATTAAGTACTGAATTGACTAAAATACGATGCAGTAAAAGCCAGACTAGATAGACGTCATCAAAGTTGTATTTTTGTTCTTCAAACGGCTACACATGGATAATTTTAATGTTCAGTAAGCAACATCAATATCATATCAATATCAGGTTAAACTATAAAAGGAAATAGTATTTAATTATTTATTATATAATACCAGGATGTATTTGTTAGAACAATTTGGTATGAATTTTGTAGATTCAATCGATCGGCAGCCAACTAGATTGATGTAAAACATATAAAATAGATCTTACAATAGTCATATCTTTGAAATTGCACTTGCAACACATTGAATGTCCCTATAGTCTCATAAACATGTTGAATGGTGTTTATCTAAATAAATGTCAGTCAACTTTTTATTTACATTAATTTATTTTAATTTCACTCCTGGTCTTTTAATGTATTGTAAAAATATATTTTATAAGTCAAACCCATGTTCAGAAAATATGATTGAAGCCTTTTCATAAGACACAAACCTGTACTTTATTTGAAGTAAATAAACGAGTTATTTTATTTAAGATTATATGTCATATTACGACAGAAATCAACTTTTTGATTAAGCAAAACATTGAATTTGATTACTGTTTTGAAGAGAAAAAATTTGGTAGTTACAAGCAAATTCTTATGCACATTTTCTTTAAAATTTGTATGTACATTTATTTATTTCACACCTTGTAAAAAAACCGATCACCTTAAGCGTTGGACCAAATGGTCATTATTGGATCCAATCTTATCAATTTAGCCTTGTTTTTATTTCCATAATATAAAATGTCCATATCAAATGCATATCGTACCCCCTATAGCCTCGTTTTCACTTTTAGAGTCCAAAAAATCTATATCAAATGCATATCATTCTCCATCTTGCCTCGCCTTCATTTTTGAGAGTCCAAAAAATCCATACCAATTGTGCTTGAAGTAACAAAGTTCTATAAGAATGTCAAATGCAAACCTTTTTTCAGAATCGGCTGACACCTCGTCCAATATAGTTTAGATAGCTATGTACTATTCCAATAGTTTTCAGTATTATACTCTACATTGTATTTTGACCTAATAAATGAATACATAAGAAAAGACCTCCTATTCAAAAGTTTTAATAGACTACTTTTAAATGAAAGCTAGCATTAATAGGATTATATGATCAAAAAATCTCTTTTTAAGAAGAGAATGCATAACACAATTAAAATGTTCACTCAATTTCATGTGCATAATATATTGTTGTTACTTACATGTGTGTGTTTATAATCCGCTTACTTGCTGTCAATAAAATGTTTACAATTCTATAAGTCTCTGTATTCCTTAGATATGTCTACAACAGCATCGAGAAGACATGTTCATCATTTACATTCATAATAAAAAACAACAGAAAATCAACGTAAAGAAAGTTGTCCAAAAACAAAATTATTTCCAAATAAAATGCAGAATATCCTTTTCCTAGCTAATAGGTAATGTTTTTTTTTTGTTTTTTTTTTTAAAGATTTCACTTTTAACTTTTTTATCATTGTCTTTACAAAATTTAAAAACGAAATAGAAATTATTGTCTAGTTAGAAAATTATTGATGGTTTCATCAGTTTATCTAACTACATGTAATAAATGTTAGCCGCACCATGACAAAACCAACATAATGGGTTTGCGACCAGCATGGATCCAGACCAGTCTGATCAGGATCCATGCTGTTCGCTATCAGTTTCTCTACTTGTAATACTTATTTCATTTTTATGTAACTGCAAGTTTTAGAGAAAGCCTAAACATAACCATTGTAAAGCATAGATGACTTAATATGGTTGAATGGAAATGGAATTGTTAAATTTCGGTTGAATATTGAAAAAAAAAACAGAAAAAGAAGAAGGAACTTTATTCATCTTAACATTAACATGTCTCTCATATACATCACAGTACACTGATAACATTTTGCGATGGCTGGGTTTGAATAATACATGTATAAGTGAAACTCAAATGATATGTTTTATATAAATGTAAATTTTAATGGTTAAATATTTTGTAACTGTATTAACGGTAAATATAATGGACATAATGAGCATTCTTTCAGATTTTATCACCTACGATTGTCGTATCTTTAATCCCCGAAGAGACTAAAGTCAAAACCATTAGCTTCAAATGTGCTTTTTATAACTTTCATAACACCGGCAAGCTTAATGCTCACGAATCATTCTTGCTCTGAAAAACAACAAATTTACGTACAACAAAAAGTGCCACATGTGCTGGGAAAACTCATTTTGATTAACTTATTGAATATTTAATTACTGCACGCAGCTCATACAGTTTTGGTTAAATTGTTTTTATTGAAATTGATTATGTGTTTAGTGGGTAACTACAATTTATGTAACCGGTTTTAAATAAAAATGTGTACAAATGCACACATTAAATAAAGGATCAAGAGTTGAATGTATTGGTTATTATCTTTGAATACTCTTGAGTAACAATCAATTATTTTCATTCGAAAACATGAACGAGATATACGTGTATTTCATAAATCCGGTGATAAGCCCAGTAACCGTTTATAACAAACACAAAGGAAACAAAGGAATATTTATAGTACAATATAATAAAAGAAGAACTCAAAGAATTACTTTACTATACTTTTAAATGCTTGTTTGACATTAATGTGAACATCGTTGATGACATATGAAAGTATCTAAGTTTTATGCTGCTGGACATTATAAGTGAACATTAACGGTTTATTTCATGATACAATGACATTACAAGTAAAGACCAAAGCCTGTTAGTTCGTGAAAATAAGTGTATCCTTTTCAACAAACAGTGATTGATTCTTAAAACAATCGTCGAGCTGATGCTGTGACTTTTGTAAATTGGTAATGAAATTGATTTTTTCGTAAAAATTGATAAAAGAATAAGTATCAAACTAACTTTCCTAGTTTACTTTTCTTTGTGAGGCAAAACGACACAATAAAAAATTAACTCAATGTTTTGTTGAGAATGACAACAATAATTAAATGTCAAAGAGAAGTTAATCCGACGTTGATCATAAAAACTATTCATCGGCATCATTCTTTGTGTTGTATGCACTGCCGGAATTATTTTTATCTAGTATGTTTACTTAAATTTAAGAAAACCCGGGAGTTAAACATTGTTTCGTGACGTAAAAATTGAAAAAGGGTAATCCTTCGGAAGAAGCATTCAAACAACAAAGTAACATGATAACTGCACACTCGATTTGATTCAGTCTTTGGGATAATGGAAAAGTGAAACATCCCTCACACACACTCTAGCACCGTAAGTCGCACTTAGTATTGTGTTTTGTGATAAAGTGCCCATAAATGTATTGATTTGTTAACAAATATTTATGTATACAGTATTTAAGCAATAGGTCACTTGTTTGGCGGGCTAGCGCTAGTTAAACAAAAATATTATACTGATATTGATATTATATTTGTACTTGACCATCATCCTGAACAATTGTATCTTCTGTGTCGATGGACAAAAGGATTATTTAAGGGTAGCTGTGCCAAACATTTTTTTCAAAGCGGCTTATATTCAGTTAAATATATACATGTATATCATAAATACATGTGCTGGGATTGACAAACTTACATTTCATTTGTAATTTAAATGCGCTTTGAGCTCCACACCTTAAGTGTATTATTAAAGACGTTGAAAAACGGCTTATATTAAGATTTTTTACTAATCTTCCTATAATATTAGTAAACATATGTTAATTATTTGTACTAACAAGTTAGGCAAAATTGTATACAATATAAAAGCCCTCTCCTTTTTGCAGAAAATATGGCTTTCTGAAATTTTAATCCTGCACAATCGAATGATAAAATATACATTACAAATCTAATACCGTGAACGTCGATAATCATACAAACTTGATCAATTGTATTGTATTATTGTCGCCGTTACTGGACGGGTCGCAGTTACTGGATACCAAATACGTTAAACAAGAATTTACCATCTATACCCGTGTACAACCTGTCCTAAGCCAATCAGAAAGGAGAATAATAAAATGGACGACAAAAGATCTCAAAAGGGGTGTTTACGGGGCAAGTCAACCGGTATGTTTTCGTCAGGTTAGCTATATATAGAACTAAAAAACATCGAAACCAATATGTAGGCTTCTGTCGGGTAACACAATATTCGGAATATTCCTCTTGAAAGAAGAAACATTAGCTCTGTTGTTCAGGATTAAGTCTATTCAATGAAAAAAGGTGCTTTTGAATACCTGGCGAGCTTTTTTGGAAATGCTAATACTGTTCTTTTAACATAAAACGTATAAATTGTACATAAATTTTTGAAGCTTACAGAATTTTTTAGCAAATAATTTTAATCATGGTTTTCAATAAATTGACAAAGAATGAGTAATGCAATGTATTTTAAACGTTAATTGCATTGACAACATTTGTTTCTCTTATCTTGTGGTTTTACCAATTACTTTTATAAATTAAAATGCCTCTAAACTGCAAAAACAGAAATTAATTGTGCCACTAAGTGATAAGAACTTGGAAATCCTTCAGCTAATCTCGTTTTCATGATAGAGGCCGCTAGGCTAGGAGACCATTCACCTATATTTCCTTTCATACTTTTAAGACTATGTAAATTGTTATTACATACATACATCTATTATTTTTCAGTCTGTTATGCTTTGAGAGATCAGTATCTCCCATTGTACAAAGTTCTGCGCGTGATATTTAAATAATTTATTT